ATTTTTAAGAGATTGATATTTGTATTGTTTTCTCAAAATCCCGTAAGCAAACATTTATTTGCAAGATTAAAAAATTTTTTGGATATTGGGCCAAGACATTTAGAGAAAATCATTAATGTTGGATATTATGACTGTAGTAGTTTATAAAAATCAACCGTCTCAGCAAACAAACACAACTGTATCATGTTTTTTTTTTATTTAACTTTTTTTCATTATTTCATTTTTAAATTTTGTTTATGGCATTTTCAGATCTATACTATCTACACTGAATAATAAGTGGATAAAACATGTACATTAATAAATATAAATATTTATACTTATTAAAATTATATAAATTATATGAATATTACAAAATATAATTTTTCTAAACTTATATCAATTATATCGAATCAATAAATATCATTATTTCCCCAAAGTATGTGGCTTTGAACCTCAGCAGAAGACTCTTTTTACCCAGATGCACCACAATCATTCCTGCCTGTGGTCATTAATCTCTATAACGCCTCCCTCAAGTGATTCAGACATCCCCCTCTGTAATTGACATTTATTTATTCCTGGCGCTGTTACACAACGTCATCATCACTTTATTTGGATTTATAGTTATACATATATTGTGTGGTTTGTTGTGTGTGTGTGTACAGGTGCTGGTCATAAAATTAGAATATCATGAAAAAGTAGATTGATTTCAGTAATTCCATTTAAAAAGTGAAACTTGTATATTATATTCATACATTACATACAAACTCATATATTTCAGATGTTTATTTTGTTTAATTTTGATGATTACAAATAACAAATGAAAATCTCAAATTCATCATATCAGAAAATTAGAATATTACTGAAGACCAATAAAAACAAAGGATTTATAGAAATGTTGGCCAACTGAAAAGTATGAACATGAAAAGTATGAGCATGTACAGCACTCAGTATTTAGTTGGGCCTCCTTTGGCCTGTATTACTGCAGCAATGCGGCGTGGCATGGAGTCCATCAGTCTGTGGAACTGCTCAGGTGTTATGATAGCCCAGGTTGCTCTAATAGTGGCTTTTAGCTCTTCTGAATTGTTGGGTCTGGTGTATTGCATCTTCTTCTTCACAATACCCCATAGATTTTCTATGGGGTTAAGGTCAGGGGAGTTTGCTGGCCAATTAAGAACAGGGATACCATGGTCCTTCAACCAGGTACTGGTAGCTTTGGCACTGTGTGCAGGTGCCAAGTCCTGTTGGAAAATGAAATCTGCATCTCCAAAAAGTTGGTCAGCTGCAGGAAGCATGAAGTGCTCTAAAACTTCCTGGTATGTGGCTGCGTTGACCCTGGACCTCAGAAAACACAATGGACCAACACCAGCAGATGACATGGCACCCCAAACCATCACTGACTGTGGAAACTTTACACTGGACTTCAAGCAACGTGGATGAAGTGCCTCTCTTCTTTTCCTCCAGACTCTGGGACCTTGATTTCCAAAGGAAATGCAAAATTTACTTTCATCAGAGAACATGACTTTGGACCACTCACCAGCAGTCCAGTCCTGTTTCTCTTTAGCCCAGGCAAGACGCTTCTGACGCTGTCTGTGGTTCAAGAGTGGCTTGACACAAGGAATGCGACAGCAGAAACCCATGTCTTTCATACGTCTGTGTGTGGTGGTTCTTGAAGCACTCACTCCAGCTGCAGTCCACTCTTTGTGAATCTCCCCCACATTTTTGAATGGGTTTTGTTTCACAATCCTCTCCAGGGTGCGGTTATCTCTCTTGCTTGTAAACTTTTTTCGACCACATCTTTTCCTTCCCTTCGCCTCTCTATTAATGTGCTTGGACACTGAGCTCTGTGAACAGCCAGCCTCTTTAGCGATGACCTTTTGTGTCTTGCCCTCCTTGTGCAAGGTGTCGATGGTCGTCTTTTGGACAACTGTCAAGTCAGCAGTCTTCCCCATGATTGTGTAGCCTATAGAACTAGACTGAAAGACCATTTAAAGGCTTTTGCAGGTGGTTTGAGTTAATTAGCTGATTAGAGTGTGGCACCAGGGGCCATCAATTTTGAACCTTTTCACAATATTCTAATTTTCTGATATGATGAATTTGAGATTTTCATTTGTTGTCATTTGTAATCATCAAAATTAAACAAAAAAAACATCTGAAATATATGAGTTTGTATGTAATGTATGAATATAATATACAAGTTTCACTTTTTAAATGGAATTACTGAAATCAATCTACTTTTTCATGATATTCTAATTTTATGACCAGCACCTGTATATATATATATATATATATATATATATATATATATATATATACCGTATTTTCACGACCATAAGGCGCACCGTACTAAAAGGCGCAGTCTCAGTTATGTGTCCCATTTCTGTATTTAACACACACATAAGGCGCACCGGACTATAGGGCGCGTTTTTTATATACCGGTACATGTCCTCTACTACCTTTAAATACCTCTACTGCGCATTTAAAAATACAGCGGGGCAAACTGAGTATGACTGTGCTTTATTCATGTATTTATTACAAACTATTAATGCTGGCCGTGAGACAGACACATTGCAGATGACAGTGCGCTGTGATCACTCCTAAATTAACTTAAAATCCTGAAACCTGCCGACGGAATATGTTCGCTTTTATTACCGGTATCCTGGTGCCTGCAGCTAAAATTATTTAGATGAAAAACACCTGCCAGCAGCCACGGTGAACCTGGAGCCTGCCCAGCCTAGAGGCTGCTGTTGAAGGGATTTCTGCTGTCAGTGTACCGCTGGTATGTGGGGGTCTGAGCGCCTCCGACAGAAATAGATAATCTGGATGAACTGACTGCAATCAGGAAGTTTTCAGGTGGACTTTCTCACTTAAAAACATATTAAAACTACTTTATTCCCACTGATCACAGCAAATATAGCTGCAAGATTTAGATTATTTAGATGAAAAAACACCTGCCAGCCGCCGCGGTGAAGAGGAGGAGACCCGCCCAGAGGCTGCTGTTGAATTAAGTGTTCAGGTAGAAAAATAGAGCGGGAGCAAAACTGAGTATGTTTGTTCTTTATTCATGTATTTATTACAAAGTATTAATCAAACCCATCAAAGTCATCATCCTCTGTTTCTGAATTAAACAGCTGCGCTAAATCAGACATGCCAATTTCCCCTTCTTCGCTGTCAGTCACTTTCCGTGCAGCGCGGCTCCTAATGCCTGCTTTTGCGAAAGCTTGAACAACAGAGCCAGCAGACACGTTAGTCCAAGCATCAACAATCCATCCGCAAACTGTGGCGTAACTTGCCCGGCCCTGCCTTCCACTTATCCTGAAACTGTGGTCTCTGTCGGTCACCCATCGCTCCCACGCCGCTCGCAGCCTTACTTTGAACGGCCGCTTCACACCGATGTCGAGCGGTTGAAGTTCCTTTGTCAGACCTCCCGGGATAACGGCGAGCACGGTATCCATTTGATTCACCATGTTTTTCTCTTAAGCTGTGAGATGGGCACGCATGGAGTCACAGATTAACTGCGATGGTGATGCGTGGAAAAAAACACCTGTTCTCCTCACATAGCCTACACCTTCCTCAGCCACGCTTTCATCATCTCCTCATCCATCCAGCCCTTTTCATTTGCGTTAATATCATATGTCATCAGAGCGCTGTGTCTGTCTCGCTGTCAGCTCCCAGATCAGCTTCTCTGATTGGTTGATGCGGCGCGTCCAGCAGCAAAACTTCAATTTTTCCATCTCGAGCTGCAGCAGCGCGTTGGCGGTGCGTCAGATGCTTAAACGCTCCAGACGCAGCGCCTGCTGCTCAAAACGCACTGCGGGACCTTTTGCTGTGCCTATACGCGTGTCAACCATTGACTTTGCATGTAAACTCGCTGCTTCTGCTGCACCTGCTGGGTCCGGTTCACACCGATGTCGAGCGGTTGAACAGCGAGCACAGCGTTAATTTGTTTCCCCATGTTTTTCACATCAGCTGTGAGATGGGCACGCATGGAGTCACATATTAACAGCGATGGTGATGAGTGGAAAAAAAACACCTGGTCTCCTTACATTCAGCCACTCTTTCATCATCTCCTCAATGAGGTGGTCTCAAAAGTTGCAGTTACAACACACATAAGGCGCACCGCACCAAAGGGCGCACCGCACATTTTGAGGGAAAAAAAAGACGTTTTAGTGCGCCTTATAGTCGTGAAAATACGGTATATATATATAAATGTTTGTATATCTTGAGCGTGTAACAACAGTAATTTCCCTCTGGGATTATTGAAATATGTCTTATTCTGATCTTTCTTTACCACATCTCTCAAACTGCCAGTATCACACACAATCTGCTAACTTTAATGGTGGGAAACCAAACCAGTTTGCACATCTTAGCATTTACACCAGTAATCTTAGTAGATCAACAGGAACACAGCCACTTATTGCACTTGAAAAAGCAACTGTATGTCCTATTCAGCACTCATTATTTTAAATCTTTGAAGGTCATGCCCTATAAATATTGATACCTTACCATCAACATAAGCTGTAAAGTCCAACAGGCAATATAATGTCTTTCCACCCTCTGTAACTATAACAGTTTGAACTCTTCTTGGAAGGCTGTACAAAAAATTTGGTTGGTTATGGGAATTTTTGCCCACTTTTCCACATGCATATCTGTGCTGTCATAGACTGACGCTGGAGAAAAGGTTCCAGCTCTCAGTTGGTCTAATTAATCCAAAAGGTTTTCATTCAGGTATAGTTCAGGACTCTTTGCAGGTTTCTAAGACTGCCAGTGAGCCTCAGCCTCTTGACAATATTCTGTATTAGGTTTGGTCATCTGCTGCAGTAATTCCTAATTAACTGATTATATTTCTGTATGGTAAGCTCTGGTAAAGCACTTGGAATATAATAACCAACAAATATTGGCTTCTAAACTTTTTTCCTTTCAGACAGTACTGTACATTTGTGTCTTCTAAATCCACTAAATAAATTTAAACCAGCATTAATTGTGACTGTTTAGCTGGAGAAGAGTGTTAACTTACCTTTATCTCTACTTGGTGACTTGCCTCATCATCCTCTATGGCCTTGTTCATGGTTTTAAGTTCTGCCTTAACCTTCTCCAATTTTTTATTGGTAACATCTAGACAGGACTGGACCATGTCTCGTTCCAGCTGGAAGTAGTTCCTCTCCTCCCTCTCTCTTTCTAGTTCCTCGCAAAGGCGCATAATGTGCTCTTCCATCTGAAAGACCAGAATTTGGAAGAAACAATCCAAATCCAAAAAGTTAACATAGACAAAGAGATCATGTTTTAAACAGAATAGTATGTGAAAAAGTAGGTAAAAATAAATAAACCCTATGACCACAACAGATGGGTATTTATATCTTTTTGACTGAAGACTGTCATGAACCGAGGACAGATGGACCCAGTATTCAGGAGAGACAGTCAGTAGGAAAGTTCAAAAGGTTTATTAAAATAAAAACAAAACAAAAGCGGAGCTGTGGCTCGAGGACACTGCAGGCAGGGGGGGCGGGGCACCGCCCAATCTCAGACACTCTAGGGAGGAAACACAGGTAAGTGACCACGATCAACCAATAGAAGATTAACTGTGTTGGTCACTTACCTGGTTTAACAGTCCAGACTACAGGTGTCCCAGTGCTGCAGTCCCAGAGGTGATGGTGGAAGCTGATCCTGGTCAGGGATCCAGAACAGACAGGAACAGACAGAGGTGGCAGGATCCAGACTTCCATGCAACCACAGGCTTCCAGGAGGGTTCGGAGTCTGACTGGGACCAGAAGCATGACCAGGTGGTCACGCACAGGAGCAGACAGGATCAGGTGCAGACAGGCAGGCTCAGTGGAAGAGGGTAGCCGAGACAGGACGTGGAACCAGAACTTGAAGCAGACTTTAAACTGGTCTCCACCCAGGAGCCAGGCTTACTTAGATAAAAACTGAACCCCCCCCCCATAATGAGCCAAAAACCCAGAGGACTCCGCAGGGGAGGAACAGTGGACGATCAGGAGACGAGACAAACACTAAAACCCTCTTTCCACTGGCTGCCAGGATCCAGGACATGAACCAAATAAAAACTGACAGAAAGACAAGCAATGATCTGGCACTGAATGCTCAGGCTGAACTGAATATAAACCAGAGGAAACAGGTGAGAGGAATTAATTATAATGAGGCAGGGAGGGAAGAGGGCAGGTGAAAGGAATTACTAATTAAGGGAGAGCAAACAGGCCAGATCATGACAGAAGACACTGTCATTTTGTTTTTTCTAAAGAGAATGCTCACTGTTATCTATAATGTTCTTAATTTTATGAAGAATTCTCTTTCATGAAAACATCTCCAGAGGCTCTAGAGAAGTTTCTGAAAAAGAACGGACCTTCTTTCTTAGCTTGTTGAGCTTCTTTAAGTCATTTGCTGTGATGCTGTTATCCCAGAACTTGATGAGGGAAGAGATAAAACTCCACAACATACTTATCGAAGATACTCTGAAGGGCCGAAGCTTCCTTAGGAAGTATCGTCTGCTCTGTCCCTTCTAGATAACTTTAAAGTTATCAAGAAGTCTATTGTCCAGTCTATTGTCCAGGTGAACACAAAGGTATTTATACTCCTCTACCACGTCCACTTCTTCTCCCATTGTGTTAATAGCATCCAGCTTGCTCCCTGATGCACCCAACAACTGCAGTCATTTGAGTGTTTCTGCAGATGAGAGAACTCTGTCTTGCATTGGATGTCTGTACAGACAGCTGTACAGAGGAAATAATAATGGTGAGAGTACCATCCCTTGTGCTGCTCCTACACTGCTGACTACCTGATTGGACAGCTGACCCCTCAGTCTCACAAACTGTGGTCTGTTTGTCCAGGCAATTGTTGATGCCTGGACAAACTCCATTTGCTCTCCATTTGCGTCTTCACTTGACTCCACAAGACAGATAGTTTGAAGGTTGAGGCAGCAGCACCATTTACTGATTTGGTTGAGAGCAAATGGACAGAAGAAGGATAACCTATAGCAGGAGTAGAAGATAAAAGATTTAGATGTGAGGGGGAAGCTTTGGGCCAAAGGAGGGATGGGATGTTCGTTTGACTGTGGTCAGCAGAGAAGGGGGCTGAGCTTGTTTGTGAACTGATGATCCTTCTGACTTAAGCCTGAGATCTCCTTCATCCCTGATAACATATCTCTGATACTGTTCTCTTGGAGATTGCTTTCCAGCCTCCTCATTTATGCATCCCTTGTCTCTCTTATCTGGATCTTCAGTTGCATCTGCACCCTCCTCAGGAGTTCCCCATCTCCATTCCGGAAGGCCCATTTTTCTTGTTTACCAGTTCCATCAGTTCACTGCTGATATCCAGGTTTTATTGTTGGGGAAGCATCTATCTAAACAGTACTGTATATCGCAAGTCACACAGTCAGTTCAATTCAATTTCATTTTAGGTTATTTATAAATACCAAATCACAACACATTTCATCTCAGGGCATTTTACAGAGGCAATACCAGACGACTGCATGCTCCTCCTGGATGTATTTGCAGTCTTCCCTAACCCTAATGTGTGGATATTATTTAAACCTAACCCTGAATTTATTTCCTAACCCTAATGTGTGGTGTCTAAGCTTATTTCCATTTCGCATGCGTATTGGGGAGGAGCCATAAGCCCTATATAACGGAGGCCCTAGCCATTTTTCTATCATTTCAAGCTTGTGCTGTGTGGATGTTGGACTGTAACAGAGGGTGCTTAAACAAAATTCAATGCTGTGGGGAACAAGTCAAGTCATATGCTCATCTAAGGACATGTCAAACACAATGAAAGGAGCAAATACCTGTGGAGAGAAAAGTCAAGAAAGACGAAATAAGCATTTACTTACCGTGTGTTGGCCTGAAGAAGACTCATTCCACTCGAAATATAGCCGGTTTGATACACACGAAGACAGCAGCCCTAAATTGGGAGAAATAAGAACACTAATTAGCAGATTGTAAGGACAAGAATGGTGGTTCACAACACAAGCCAAATCAAATTCTTTTATTTTTTTCTGGATAATGATGGGGGGTTCTGTTCGACATGTGGTGTCAGTGCACTGCTGGTTGTCCCTATTGAGCAACCAGTACCTTTTCATAAACCTAACCAGCCAGAAGCCCACCGGACAGGGTCCTCTTGAATCCTACCTTATTTTATTTTATTTTAAAACCTATCCAGTGTGTCTTTAAACCCTATCCTGTGTGTCTTCCCTAACCCTAATGTGTGGATATTATTTAAACCTAACCCTGAATTTATTTCCTAACCCTAATGTGTGGTGTCTAAGCTTATTTCCATTTCGCATGCGTATTGGGGAGGAGCCATAAGCCCTATATAAGGGAGGCCCTAGCCATTTTTCTATCATTTCAAGCTTGTGCTGTGTGGATGTTGGACTGTAACAGAGGGTGCTTAAACAAAATTCAATGCTGTGGGGAACAAGTCAAGTCATATGCTCATCTAAGGACATGTCAAACACAATGAAAGGAGCAAATACCTGTGGAGAGAAAAGTCAAGAAAGACTAAATTAGCATTTACTTACCGTGTGTTGGCCTGAAGAAGACTCATTCCAGTCGAAATATAGTCGGTTTAATACACACGAAGACAGCAGCCCTAAATTGGGAGAAACAAGAACACTAATTAGCAGATTGTAAGGACAAGAATGATGGTTCACAACACAAGCCTAACTAAATTCTTTTATTATTTTTTTCTGGATAATGATGGGGGGTTCTGTTCGACATGTGGTGCCAGTGCACTGCTGGTTGTCCCTATGGGTCAACCAGCCCCTTTTCATAAACCTAATCAGCCAGAAGCCCACCAGACAGGGTCCTCTTGAATCCTACCTTATTTTATTTCATTTTATTTAATTTTAAAACCTATCCAGTGTGTCTTTAAACCCTATCCTGTGTGTCTTCCCTAAACCCTAATGTGTGGATATTATTTAAACCTAACCCTGAATTTATTTCCTAACCCTAATGTGTGGTGTATAAGCTTATTTCTTTTTCGCATGCGTAGAGGAGGAGGAGCCATAAGCCCTATATAAGGGAGGCCCTAGCCATTTTTCTATCATTTCAAGCTTGTGCTGTGTGGATGTTGGACTGTAACAGAGGGTGCTTAAACAAAATTCAATGCTGTGGGGAACAAGTCAAGTCATATGCTCATCTAAGGACATGTCAAACACAATGAAAGGAGCAAATACCTGTGGAGAGAAAAGTCAAGAAAGACTAAATTAGCATTTACTTACCGTGTGTTGGCCTGAAGAAGACTCATTCCAGTCGAAATATAGTCGGTTTAATACACACGAAGACAGCAGCCCTAAATTGGGAGAAACAAGAACACTAATTAGCAGATTGTAAGGACAAGAATGATGGTTCACAACACAAGCCTAACTAAATTCTTTTATTATTTTTTTCTGGATAATGATGGGGGGTTCTGTTCGACATGTGGTGCCAGTGCACTGCTGGTTGTCCCTATGGGTCAACCAGCCCCTTTTCATAAACCTAACCAGCCAGAAGCCCACCAGACAGGGTCCTCTTGAATCCTACCTTATTTTATTTCATTTTATTTAATTTTAAAACCTATCCAGTGTGTCTTTAAACCCTATCCTGTGTGTCTTCCCTAAACCCTAATGTGTGGATATTATTTAAACCTAACCCTGAATTTATTTCCTAACCCTAATGTGTGGTGTATAAGCTTATTTCTTTTTCGCATGCGTAGAGGAGGAGGAGCCATAAGCCCTATATAAGGGAGGCCCTAGCCATTTTTCTATCATTTCAAGCTTGTGCTGTGTGGATGTTGGACTGTAACAGAGGGTGCTTAAACAAAATTCAATGCTGTGGGGAACAAGTCAAGTCATATGCTCATCTAAGGACATGTCAAACACAATGAAAGGAGCAAATACCTGTGGAGAGAAAAGTCAAGAAAGACGAAATAAGCATTTACTTACCGTGTGTTGGCCTGAAGAAGACTCATTCCACTCGAAATATAGCCGGTTTGATACACACGAAGACAGCAGCCCTAAATTGGGAGAAATAAGAACACTAATTAGCAGATTGTAAGGACAAGAATGGTGGTTCACAACACAAGCCAAATCAAATTCTTTTATTTTTTTCTGGATAATGATGGGGGGTTCTGTTCGACATGTGGTGTCAGTGCACTGCTGGTTGTCCCTATTGGGCAACCAGTACCTTTTCATAAACCTAACCAGCCAGAAGCCCACCGGACAGGGTCCTCTTGAATCCTACCTTATTTCATTTTATTTAATTTTAAAACTTATCCAGTGTGTCTTTAAACCCTATCCTGTGTGTCTTCCCTAAACCCTAATGTGTGGATATTATTTAAACCTAACCCTGAATTTATTTCCTAACCCTAATGTGTGGTGTATAAGCTTATTTCTATTTCGCATGCGTAGAGGAGGAGGAGCCATAAGCCCTATATAAGGGAGGCCCTAGCCATTTTTCTATCATTTCAAGCTTGTGCTGTGTGGATGTTGGACTGTAACAGAGGGTGCTTAAACAAAATTCAATGCTGTGGGAAACAAGTCAAGTCATATGCTCATCTAAGGACATGTCAAACACAATGAAAGGAGCAAATACCTGTGGAGAGAAAAGTCAAGAAAGACTAAATTAGCATTTACTTACCGTGTGTTGGCCTGAAGAAGACTCATTCCAGTCGAAATATAGTCGGTTTAATACACACGAAGACAGCAGCCCTAAATTGGGAGAAACAAGAACACTAATTAGCAGATTGTAAGGACAAGAATGATGGTTCACAACACAAGCCTAACTAAATTCTTTTATTATTTTTTTCTGGATAATGATGGGGGGTTCTGTTCGACATGTGGTGCCAGTGCACTGCTGGTTGTCCCTATGGGTCAACCAGCCCCTTTTCATAAACCTAATCAGCCAGAAGCCCACCAGACAGGGTCCTCTTGAATCCTACCTTATTTTATTTCATTTTATTTAATTTTAAAACCTATCCAGTGTGTCTTTAAACCCTATCCTGTGTGTCTTCCCTAAACCCTAATGTGTGGATATTATTTAAACCTAACCCTGAATTTATTTCCTAACCCTAATGTGTGGTGTATAAGCTTATTTCTTTTTCGCATGCGTAGAGGAGGAGGAGCCATAAGCCCTATATAAGGGAGGCCCTAGCCATTTTTCTATCATTTCAAGCTTGTGCTGTGTGGATGTTGGACTGTAACAGAGGGTGCTTAAACAAAATTCAATGCTGTGGGGAACAAGTCAAGTCATATGCTCATCTAAGGACATGTCAAACACAATGAAAGGAGCAAATACCTGTGGAGAGAAAAGTCAAGAAAGACTAAATTAGCATTTACTTACCGTGTGTTGGCCTGAAGAAGACTCATTCCAGTCGAAATATAGTCGGTTTAATACACACGAAGACAGCAGCCCTAAATTGGGAGAAACAAGAACACTAATTAGCAGATTGTAAGGACAAGAATGATGGTTCACAACACAAGCCTAACTAAATTCTTTTATTATTTTTTTCTGGATAATGATGGGGGGTTCTGTTCGACATGTGGTGCCAGTGCACTGCTGGTTGTCCCTATGGGTCAACCAGCCCCTTTTCATAAACCTAACCAGCCAGAAGCCCACCAGACAGGGTCCTCTTGAATCCTACCTTATTTTATTTCATTTTATTTAATTTTAAAACCTATCCAGTGTGTCTTTAAACCCTATCCTGTGTGTCTTCCCTAAACCCTAATGTGTGGATATTATTTAAACCTAACCCTGAATTTATTTCCTAACCCTAATGTGTGGTGTATAAGCTTATTTCTTTTTCGCATGCGTAGAGGAGGAGGAGCCATAAGCCCTATATAAGGGAGGCCCTAGCCATTTTTCTATCATTTCAAGCTTGTGCTGTGTGGATGTTGGACTGTAACAGAGGGTGCTTAAACAAAATTCAATGCTGTGGGGAACAAGTCAAGTCATATGCTCATCTAAGGACATGTCAAACACAATGAAAGGAGCAAATACCTGTGGAGAGAAAAGTCAAGAAAGACGAAATAAGCATTTACTTACCGTGTGTTGGCCTGAAGAAGACTCATTCCACTCGAAATATAGCCGGTTTGATACACATGAAGACAGCAGCCCTAAATTGGGAGAAATAAGAACACTAATTAGCAGATTGTAAGGACAAGAATGGTGGTTCACAACACAAGCCAAATCAAATTCTTTTATTTTTTTCTGGATAATGATGGGGGGTTCTGTTCGACATGTGGTGTCAGTGCACTGCTGGTTGTCCCTATTGGGCAACCAGTACCTTTTCATAAACCTAACCAGCCAGAAGCCCACCGGACAGGGTCCTCTTGAATCCTACCTTATTTCATTTTATTTAATTTTAAAACTTATCCAGTGTGTCTTTAAACCCTATCCTGTGTGTCTTCCCTAAACCCTAATGTGTGGATATTATTTAAACCTAACCCTGAATTTATTTCCTAACCCTAATGTGTGGTGTATAAGCTTATTTCTATTTCGCATGCGTAGAGGAGGAGGAGCCATAAGCCCTATATAACGGAGGCCCTAGCCATTTTTCTATCATTTCAAGCTTGTGCTATGTGGATATTGGACTGTAACAGAGGGTGCTTAAACAAAATTCAATGCTGTGGGGAACAAGTCAAGTCATATGCTCATCTAAGGACATGTCAAACACAATGAAAGGAGCAAATACCTGTGGAGAGAAAAGTCAAGAAAGACTAAATAAGCATTTACTTACCGTGTGTTGGCCTGAAGAAGACTCATTCCACTCGAAATATAGCCGGTTTGATACACACGAAGACAGCAGCCCTAAATTGGGAGAAACAAGATCACTAATTAGCAGATTGTAAGGACAAGAATGATGGTTCACAACACAAGCCTAACTAAATTCTTTTTATTATTTTTTTCTGGATAATGATGGGGGGTTCTGTTCGACATGTGTGCCAGTGCACTGCTGGTTGTCCCTATTGAGCAACCAGCCCCTTTTCATAAACCTAACCAGCCAGAAGCCCACCGGACAGGGTCCTCTTGAATCCTACCTTATTTTATTTCATTTTATTTAATTTTAAAACCTATCCAGTGTGTCTTTAAACCCTATCCTGTGTGTCTTCCCTAACCCTAATGTGTGGATATTATTTAAACCTAACCCTGAATTTATTTCCTAACCCTAATGTGTGGTGTCTAAGCTTATTTCCATTTCGCATGCGTATTGGGGAGGAGCCATAAGCTAGGGTGACCATATTTTCATTTGGGAAAACCAGGACACCTTGGAGCGGGTGTGTGTGTGTGTGTGTGTGTGTGTGGGGGGGGGGGGGGGGGGGGGGTTGATTGAAAGAACAAATTTCTCACCATCGGGATTAGCTCCGCGATCAGAGGAAATCTTACTTGGCGCACAACAGTGGTGGAAATTGGAAGTTCTGTGAATAGTTCCGTCTGAAATGAATGAAAATGAAATTGTTTTAATGGTTATTGAGTCAGATATGTGGCGGTAATGTTTGGTTTATCTGAAGGTTTTTATCTGTTACTGTGTAAATGGGTTTGGCTGTAATTTAAGGACAGATTCTGATATATCTGCAGAGTGGGAACTATAAATCTGATAGGAGTTTAATTTTTTTATTGTTGTTTTGCACAATATGCTTAACTAAGTATTTTTTGTTGTTGAATATTAGAGATTTTGCAGATATATTTTGTAGATACATTGTTTAGATTTACTTATATATTTCTAACCCTTTTAGAGAATAGAATAGAAAATCCCTTTTTTGTCCCACAATGGGCAGATTTACAGCAGCAGAAAGATTATTGAACATGGTCACACAAATGTGGACCTTAGAAAAATTTATAAAAATAACATAATAGGGAAGAGTTAAAATATAAAAAATGCAATTCTGTAAAGTGTTTTAACAATATAAAACCGGATAATTAATAATATGCTGCTATGGACATTTTTACAGTAATGGATATTTGAAAATAGCAGCAACATCAGAGATGTGCAGAATGACAGCAGCAGGTTATTTAACTGACTAAGGTTTCTATCATTACATTTGATTGGATTTGTTCCTGCTCACGGTGGTTGAAACCTTTATTCCACTCTGGATTCTTGTGAGTGTAGTGTTTGTTCACTTTAACTTTTTTTTAAATAAATAAATAAACAAACAGTTTTGAAAACCTCGGTATTCATTCTTTTCCTGCTTTGTGTGTCAACCTTCACGGTTGCTAAGCAACAGAGCATACAGCGGTAAAACCCGCCGAAGGGTGGACCTATTCGAATTTACAGCCAAAACTCTTCCGGTCTCCTTATTTTCAAGGACTTCGAAGGATCCAGTCTAGGTAGACCGCGTCCTTGGAGGATGCGTCCTAGGTTTTCGAACAGAGCCTCTGATTAAGAACAGGGCTGCCTGCACTGACACGGCTCAGGGATTACTTCACACGGAGCGTTGTGCGCAGTGAAATCAGGACATTTCCTCACTTTCTAAAAAAAAACCGGGACGCCCGGGACAGGACGTGAAATACGCATATGTCCCAGGAAATACGGACGTTTGGTCACCCTACCATAAGCCCTATATAAGGGAGGCCCTAGCCATTTTTCTTCATTTCAAGCTTGTGTTGTGTGGATGTTGGACTGTAACAGAGGGTGTTTAAACAAAATTCAATGCTGTGGGGAACAAGTCAAGTCATATACTCATCTAAGGACATGTCAAGTACATTGAAATGAGCAAATACCTGTGGAGAGAAAAGTCTAGAAAGACGAAATAAGCATTTACTTACCGTGTGTTGGCCTGAAGAAGACTCATTTCATAAACCAAACATTTATGTTTATGAACAAAGAAGGCTTTTTTATTCCACTCATAAATAACATGTAGATAGTGTCTCATGAAGGGAAAGGAGATATGGACATAAAGGTCTATCAAAATATCTAACGATGTACCTGCAATAATTACAGAAATGTATCTAGGATTTATTTAAAGACTGGGCTCATTTTGTTGTTCGTTTGTTGTTGTTTTTTTGCATTATGTCATTTAGTGCACCTATTCAAATGCAAATTACGCTACTAAAATAAAACTCAGGATCAAAAGGGTTTCTCTTCACTAGAAAAGATGCGAGTGATATAGCACTGCCCCATTGCACAAACTTTTTGCATTTCTCTCATTTTCTTTAAATTCATTGATGTTTATTGATGCTTCAAATTAATCAGCAGTGGAAATGCTTCTGACAGAAAACACTTTAATTTCAGTAATACTTTCAGTTTATCGGATATTCCAAACATGCTTATGCATTCCCACTTATTGTTGTTCACTTAAAATTTTTCTGACTCTAACTAGTCCCACAGTTTTCAACCGATTTCAACAATTTTGGTATCAAAACGTTCAGCTTGTTCAGGAGAATTGTGCTGTGTCTTTTGGTAAAGATCTTTTTTGTAGTTTTCGAGATATTCTGCTTTTTCTGTGTTTTTTTTGTCCCATTGAAATGCATGTAGAATTCTTAGATTTCCGAAAAATTCAGCTAAAACTTTATCATCTTCAACCTTTAACTACTTCAGCATACTTTCAGCTAGAAACACCATTCAACTTTTAAAATGTTTCTGTGTCTTTCTGCTATTACTGTTTAACTCAGCTTTTTGCTAACTTTTACAGTTTTTCTTCAGTGAAGCTTCAAACTTTAAAAGAAAATTTTAAGATTTTCAGATTTATAATGGAAGTCTATGGACGGAATTCTTCAACTGCTAGAGTGCGCGCTCTAGCTTTTGAGCTGTTCTGGTTTTTCCAAACAAATTTTTCTCAGTCCCTCATTTTTCACTCAATTGAAATAATACTAGTATAATATAATATAATAATAATATTATACATCAAAACGTAGAGATTTTTGTCAGGATTCAGGAAATGTAACCCTCATTTGTGTGGCATTTACGGTTTTCTGACAGTTTTGCCCAGACCACGAAGAAGTCCACACTTCCCCCATAGAAATCCAATGAGAGCTCTCTGAAAATCCGAACTGATAATTCAAAAAAACAGACTTTTTCGTATCGCTCCCATTCAGGAACCGTTGGACGTAGCAACATGAGCCTTGTGGAAGTTGTTCCTCTGACCTTCCTAGCACTCACATTGAAGGAAGTGTGTCGATATCTTTTATTGTTTAGCTAGGAAAAAGGTTTGTTCGAGGGTAACAAATCTGTCCGAACCCCAAAATCAAGATTTTGACAATTATACACTTTTTTACATCGTCACCACACCTAGACCAAATATTGTAGAAATATGGAAGTTACACCAGTTGTAGTCCAAAGATTGCCGACGCTCCCGGTGAAATAATTTTTTTAATACCTTTTACGGTTTTGGCTCACCGCTCGTTTGTTCGCAGGGAAAGTTTTGCTTTTGAGAGTTCTGCTCTACCATTGAGCTGCATGTTATTTAATGAGACCAGCAGGATTTACAAACCTTTGTTTCTCCTTCCCATTAAGGCTGTGAATGAGCTACATCCATGAAAGTTACCCCAACTGGAGACAAAGGATAGCTCTCGCTTATGCTGCGTTCACACCGGGGGCAGCAAAAGCAGCAAAATCGCGTCTGCTGCTTCATTTTTGCTGCTTGTACCAGTGAATTCTGACGCGCGTCTGAAGCAGCTTTGCTGCTCTCGCTGCGCGGTCCAAAAGTGGGTCTGACGCGCGTTGGGCAGAGCTTCACTATCCTTTCTTTGCCTGGAACAATGGCGGATGAAATTGAGAGAGTCGCCTGGCTTATTTTAATAAATAAAGCTAGAGAACGCCGTTTTCGGGCGCGTCGTTGTCATATCTGGATTCACGAAACAATTCAGAGGCGTTCAGTTTGTGGAGAGTTTCACCATCTACTCCAGGAACTCCGAGCCGACGAGGGTCGCTTCCAGCGCTACCATTGTCTCACCCCAGCCCAATTTGATGAGCTGCTGTCCCGCATTGGTGCCCGCATCACCTACCAGGACACAAACTACAGACGGTCAATTTCAGCTGAAGAGCGCCTGTCTATCTGTCTCAGGTTAGTGAGAAAGAAGGCTCGTATCGGTGCTGAAAAAAAATTATTATTTCATTGCTGTGGTAACAATTAAGGAGGGCTTATTTTAAAGTATAACATGCTGAAGGTATTTTTTAAACACTTTGATGAATTTGTAGCTCATATATATATATATATATATATATATATATAGAGAGAGAGAGAGAGAGAGCAATATCTATATATATAGATATATAGATATTGCTCTCTCTCTCTCTCTCTCTCTCTCTCTATATATATATATATATATATATATATATATATGTCTATATATATATACTGTACGTGTGTGTGTAATTATCTGCATTTTCTTAAAATAAATGAGATAGATCATGTGTTTTTTTTCTGTTTATTTATTTCAGGTTTCTTGCAACTGGTGACTCATACAGGTCAATTGCCAGCAGCTTCCGGGTGGGTATTTCCACTGTCTCCATCATTGTCCCAGATGTTGTTACAGCCATCTGGGACTGCCTTGTGGGAGAGTTTATGGCTGTGCCTGGAGAAGATGAGTGGAGGTCCATTGCTGTGGATTTTTGGAGGCGGTGGAACTTCCCTCTCTGCTGTGGTGCTCTGGATGGCAAACATGTAAAGCTAAAAGCACCTCCCAACTCAGGTTCTCTCTTTTTTAATTACAAGGGAGAATACTCATTGGTCCTTTTAGCCCTTGTTGATGCCCATTACAGGTTCCGGGTGATAGATGTTGGGGGTTATGGGAGAAGAAGTGATGGTGGGATCTTGGCCAATTCCGCGTTTGGCCAGGCTCTGCGTGAGGGCACGCTGAATTTTCCACCTGACCAGCACCTCCCCAGAGCTGACCACAGAGGACCCCAGCCCCATGTGATTGTGGCAGATGAGGCGTTCCCACTACGGCGAAATTTGATGCGGCCCTTTCCTGGACGCGGCGGCCTCACCAAAGAGCAGCGCATCTTCAATTATCGTCTGTCACGGGCTCGTCTGGTGGTGGAAGATGCGTTCGGGATTTGGTCTGGCCGGTGGAGGATGTTTGCCGTCAGCTGGAGATCTACCCAGAGGTTGTGGAGAAATGTGTGAAGGCCACTTGTGTTCTTCACAATTTCATAAGGGCAAATGGGCATGTACCTGCACTGAGTGGAGCTGGAACAAAGGAAGATCCCCTTCCAGATGTGGGGCGCATGGGAGCAAACCATGAAGCAAGAGAGGCAACTGATGCCAGAGAGGCATTCATGGCCTACTTCTGTGAGGAGGGAGCAGTTCCATGGCAGCCAACTGAGTAGTCATGTCCTCCACAGGACTGACGCACAACGGCTCTTTTAAGAGCCACCCACCAAAACTTCAAGAGCCTAGTTTCTATATAACTTAATCATTTTCCTTACTTGTTAACATGATTGTGTTGAAAACATTTATATGTTATGCTGTTTGTCTCCCTCCCCTTTGCAGAAAGTAGCTTCCTGGAACTGTTTCTGACTCCTGCTCCTGGGTAATCACAGCATAACCACAAGCAAAACCAAGACCGTTGTTACAGTTCACTTAAAAGTTTTTGGGAAAATTAATTAAAGACGATGTTAGTGATTTGTGGCTCCTGAATCTATCATTTTATCAAAATGTTTCATCTTTAAATGAATAATACTGTAAGATATAAATATTTTAATTCACTTCAACTATTTAAAAGAACTGACGAATGAAAGATCAAAGTGATAGTTTAAATAATTAAACCAAATGTAAATTCATAAAATATTTATTAAAACAGATTTTGAACAAACATTAATTCAACACAGACATACAACGTGAACAAAAAGGGAAAAGAAAACATGAAAATGTCTGTTTCCTCTCCTGCAAAAAGTGCCACCTATTTTATGTTAAAAAAAATTACTCTGTGGTCTCTGATGGTTCCAGATTAAGCGTGACATTGCTGCTTTCATACAATAGCTTATGAATTTGAAATTTTACAAAGTCCTTTGACTCTGGTGGAACCTTTTTCAGGAGAGGAAGCAGAGAACGCAGAAAATAATCGTCCTCACAGCAGGGGTCAGATGTGGATTTAGATTTTAGGACCTCCAACATCTCCCTCTCAAAATCTGTGGGCTCAACATGCTGCCTTTTCCGTCCCTCTTCTTCGATGGACCTTAAAAGCAGACAGTATAATTAGAGCAGAATACAGGATTTTGGGGATCACAAAATAAGGTCTCCTTTTATCTGGTGTTTCATTGCACAACAACAAACAGACGAGGAGACAGTACCTTACTGATTCCATACACACCTGATGATGATGGAGCAGACGATGGTCCAGGAGCAGACGATGGTCCAGGAGCAGAGGATGGTCCAGGAGCAGAGGATGGTCCAGCCAGCTCAGAGGAAGAGGCAGACAGCTCAGCAAGCTGGTTCTGAGACACTGTTGTTTCTGTCAATATATTTATTAAAACAATTTAATAATATGAACCACTATAAATTAAACAGAGGAGATGAAACCTGATCATTTTTAACTGTCTCACTAAACAAACCTCTGGCATCAGATAGCCCTGAATAATCCTCTGGCTGTACTCAGCGGCCTGCTCCTCCTCGACCCTTCCCTGCATGTTGCTAGTGGTCTCTCGTGGAGTGACGAAGGGTTCAAGGAAGGACAGGACCGCTAGATATTTCCACCTCTGTGCTGTCCCTGCTGCTGCACCACTTCTCTTTCTTTCTTTTTCCTTCTTAACCTCCCTCACATATGTGTCCCTCAAGGTTTTCCACCTCTTCCTGCATACATCCTCTGAATAAACATTTATTGAGCAGCATGAAATTAGCAATATATTGAAAGTGTATGTTTAACATTGTAAAAGCCTGGATAACTTACCAGAGAGTCCGATTTCCTCACTTATCCTTTTCCAGGCCTTGTCCTTTCTGCTCTTGTCTCTATATTCATAACTTGATTGATTATAAATCACTGGATGAGAGCAAACAGCAATGATCAATTTGTCTTCCATTTTCGCAAATTCCCGGGTTTTCTCCGTCTTTCCCTCCAGTCTGAAAACACAGCTACGTCATTTGGCGGAGCTTCTCTCTGATTGGTTGACGCGGCGCGTCGAGCAGCAAAAATTCAATTTTTCCATCTCAAGCAGCAGCGCGTTTGCGGCGCGTCGCGCGCGTCAGATGCCAAAACGCGCTCGACGCGCTGCTTCAGCTGCTCAGACGCGCTGCGCTTGCTGCTCGAAACGCGCCGCGGGACCTTTTGCTGCGCCTTGACGCGCGTCAACCATTGACTTTGCATGTAAACTCGCTGCTTCTGTCGCGCCAGCTGCCCCCGGTGTGAACGCAGCATTAGACTGAAAGAATTTTTTTGATACCATTTACGGTTGTCTTCAGCACTCGTTTGTTCGGAGCTGATATTCCCATTCAAAAAAGCCTGAGAGGAAAGGAACAAAAGTGAAGCGCTTTTCTCTCTTTCACTGACAGGCTCGTTAAGCGTTGTCAAGGTAACCGTGCTTCAAAGGGACTTTACCTCCACCACTTTAAAAAGCACATTTTAATCAAATGGAGGGAGACAACACTGATTTAACATTTGGAAATGGATACAATATGACTACTGGCCATGACCCTTCCCTTCACACGCAGCCCTGATAGACTTTCAAAATAAGACTCTGGGGACCCTTCAAAATAAAAGCCCCTACATTAAACTCATATTTTTTTCCCCAGCATATGGCTAAACATTATGACCCAAACTCAACCACTTTTTCAAAAATGAGACTCTAGGGGGTTTTCAAAACACGCCCCACAGAAAATTTCAAAATAAAAGCCTCCCATTGCCACTTTATCTACTGCCCTAATAACAAGGGAAAAGTGATTTAACGATTGGAAAGTCATTAAGTATCACTGCTGGGTCTGACCCTTTTCTCAACACACAACCCTGCTAGACTTTCAAAATAAGACTCCAGTGACCCTACACAATAAAAGCCTCTATAATACTCGCGTATTAATTAATGCAAATGGCTCAGAATTATGACCCAAACTCTACCAGCTTGTTTCTATTAGACTCTAGGGACCTTTTCAAAACATACCCCAGAGCAAATTTCACAATAAAAGTCTCCCATTTACGCTCTAATACAGCATCTATTCACCCAATAACATTGAAAACCAGTGATTTCATATTTAGAAATGGATTCTATATCACTGCTGGGCATGACCCTTCCCTTGACACACATCCATGATAGACTTTCGAAATAAGACTAAAGGGACTCTAAAAAATAAAAGCCTCTTCCTTACACACACTCATTCATTGTGCCGTATGGCTCATAGCTATGACCCAAACTCAAGCAATTTCTTCGAATTACACTACCAAGGCCTGTTGACCACACACCTCAGTGCATATTTCTTAATCAGGTTCTAAGATTTACACTGTAATAAAGCATCTGCTAACCTTGTAACATGCAGCCTAAGCCTGCCAACGGTGCTTTCATCACCACAGTGGCTCGTAACATGCAGGTTAAATTTTTTGACAAATTCAGCTCCTTAAGTGGTATTACCTGTCTCTCTATAAGCTTCTCTCTCTGTCCTTCCTCTGCTTGTCATGGTCGGTCTTGCACATAGGTTTGTAGATTTTCAATCCTCTAAGGATGACACTGTTTTCTTTATGCTGATCAACCAACACATTTTAAATCATTTCAAATTGTTTTGCCAAGTCTTGACATTTCCACAATTTTTTAATTTTGATACTTATTCAATACCATCTTCCTCAACATTTTACTTCCCATCCTTGAGCTACTCATATTTTCTTCAACCAGATAAGATTCAAGTTTTTCTTTGTAATTTCTTTTCTGATTCAGCTAATTTAATACTTTTCAGCCAATGCTGTGAACTTTGGCTTCATTCTGCTCTCTTTCTGGACAGGAATTAAGCTTTTCTGTTTGCTGCTAATTCATAACAGGCCTGACATGTTTCTGGGCAGTAGGTGCCCCCCTTCAAAATTTCTTTAGAACTTTTCCTAGAAACTTGGGAGACATTACATTTAGACCCTTCTAGTGCCCACATTGAACACATTTTTTGATATCATGTATGGTTTGGCTGTGCAGCTTTTAAGATGAGTCTGTTTCTGCCATTTTACTGCCAGATGATTCTTCCCTACAAAATCTTCAGATGATTGTTTTCTGCAGTTTGAAGTTTCTGATGACTTCCTATCACATTTTCATATGTTCCTTAGCTAATTTGCTTCTTTTCCTTCTCGCAGTTTCTTTCGCTAATCAAGTGGGAATGCTTATGCATTCCCACTTATTGTTGTTCACTTTAAATTTTTCTGACTCTAACTAGTCCCGCAGTTTTCCACCGATTTCAACAATTTTGGTATCAAAACGTTCAGATTGTTCAGGAGAATTTTGCTATGTCTTTTGGTAAAGATATTTTTTGTAGTTTTCGCGTATTCAACTTTTTCTGCGATTTTTTTGTCCCATTGGAATGCATGTAGAATTCTTAGATTTCAGCAAAATTCAGCTAAAACTTTATCATCTTTGACCTTTAACTACTTCAGCATACTTTCAGCTAGAAACACCATTCAACTTTTAAAATGTTTCCGTATCTTTCTGCTATTAATGTTTAACTCAGCTTTCAGCTAACTTTTACAGTTTTGCTTCAGTGAAGATTCAAACTTTTAAACAATTTTTACAGATTTTAAAATCTATAATGGAAGTTTATGGACGGAATGTTCAGCTGCTAGAGTGTGCCACTCTAGCGTTTTCAAACATTTCACTCATGCCGAACAGCTTCAACTCACTCGCTCATTTTCTACTCTATCTAGATAAATTTTACATCAAAACATAGGGATTTTTGTCAGGATTCAGGAAATGTAACCCTCATCGGTGTGACATTTACAGTTTTCCGACAGTTTGGCCCAGACCACGAAGAAGTCCACACTTCCCCAATAGAAATCCAATGAGAGCTCTCTGAAAATCCGAACTAAAAATTCAAAAAAACAGACTTTTTCGTATCGCTCCCATTCGGGAATCGTTCGACGTAGCAACATGAGCCTTGTGGAAGTTGTTCCTCAGACCTTCCTAGCACTCACATTGAAGGAAGTGTGTCGATATCTTTTATCGTTTAGCTAGGAAAAAGGTTTGTTCGGGGGTAACAAATCTGTCCGAACCCCAAAATCAAGATTTTGACAATTATACACTTTTTTACATCGTCACCACGCCTAGACAAAATATTGTAGA